GGAGGAGGCCCCCTGCCCCCGCCCCCCCCCACCCCCCGAACTTCTGCAGCCGGCATTGCAACTTCTGCATTGACTACTGCTACCCTGCAGTGCTCATCGTCCCCAGACTCCCCTTCCACTGTCCGCGGTGCAGTGTCCGCGGTGCAGCGCCCAGCCGGGCGTTAGTCCATGCGCTGTCTGCAGTGCACAGCCTCTGGCCCTGTCCCCGCAAAGATGGATGCATAAATGTCGGTGCTCCAAAAACCATGCCTGGACACCTGAGAAGAGAGCCCCGATTTTTCAGTTATGCAGCATCCTCAACTTCCACTAACATCAATAGCACCCGCAGGTGCCCAGCACTTCAAAGTCAGGGTGCTTTCATTTAGGTGACAGAGGGCTCAGGAGATCTTCTGTCAGTGTAGCTATGTCAACACTGCCACTGACCTAGTGCTGTCTACACCAGGGGTTACGTCGGTATAACTACGTCGCTCAGGAGTGTAGATTTTTCACAGCCCTGAGCAACATAGTTATATTGATATAAGTCTGTAGTGTAGACAGGGCCGATGAGAGGGGGATGAAGCCGGTACAAATTACCAGGGCCCGGCGGTCCAGAAGGGGGCCCGGCTTTCCCCCCCCCACCCCCCGTCGCCTTACCAGGGCCCAGCGGTCCGGAAAGGGGCCCGGGGTTCGGCTTCCCCCCTCCCCCTCGGCCCTGTTTAGCTGGTCCGCCATTGCTGGGGGGCCCGAAAAAAATTTTTCACCAGGGCCCGAACCTGTTCTCGGCGGCCCTGAGTGTAGACCTGGCCTAAATGTGGAGTTTAGGCATTTACATTTGAAAAATTTGCCTTAAATGTTTGCCTTAATTGTGACTCAAAACCATAGACTGAGTCCATCGTCAGAACTACGATTAAAACTCCAGGAGTTCTCTTTTCCAAAATCTTATGCTCACACCAGGAGATTTTGCTTCTGATATATTAGCATTATTAGGTGCATCACAAGAGACCGGGCTTTATCTTTCTTTGAAGCATTCTGTCTTGGCCACTGTTGGTGAGAGAACCGCAAACTAAATGGTCTATTTTTCTGCTCTGGTATGGCAGCTATTATTAATTGTTTGTTAATCACTAACAGTGTGCTAGGCCCTGTACAAAACGCAGAGGAGGAGATATGATTCTTGCCTCAAGAAATTTACAGTTGAAGACTCGCATCCTGCAAGTTGTTCAATAGATCCTTGAACCCTTTGGTGCCTCACCGAAGTTAATGGAGGTCTGTGCAGATGCAGAGGGTCCACTCACAGACTGACTTGCAGGGTTAGGGTTTACATAGACAAAACAATTCAGGCACAGGGTACACTGACTGATCTGTAGAAGCTCTGCAGCTTAAAGCACAGTTAGTATTTGTATTGGTTACGATAGGTGTGCAACAGCTTTTTGACTGTTAACAGTGTGTTCCCAGAAGAAGTGAGTTTTAAGGAGGATTTGAAGGAAAAGGGGGTTTCCCCTGTATATCAGGGGCTGGAAAGGGTTAAAAATCTTATGTCTTTTTGGCTGTGAACCAAAATGCTTGCTCCTGGCCTTTTTAATGAGAGATAAAGACAAACAGAAAAATAAAAAGTTAAACGTAAAAGGATCTATGTGCATGCAAAAGTCCTACTTGAGGTGAGTAAGGGATGCAGAATGAGTTTCAAAGGAAACAGAGGCATAAGAGAAAAATGGAGAAACATGTAAGGGTTAAAAGACTCACCACAAAATCCCAGCTCCCCAGAAAGCCATCCACAAAACAGGTGAAAACTCAGCAAAATAATGACAACAATTTACAAAACAGCAAGACACAGTGTTTACCGAGTTACTTTGTAATATAAGGGCTTGTACGTTCACACACACACACACACACAGTCATTTACGAGCTGGACCCAGGCCTGTCTTTCCTCACCAGTAACACTTCTCAAGAGACTACCCACGTGCTCTGTCGATTCCTGAAGCTCAGCTGTAAATTGATCAGCATAATGAGAACGACAAGTCTCTCTGTGACTCAGTTCTCTATCCGTCGCATGAGGATAATAGCACTTCCCTACCTCACCGGGGTGCTGTGAGGATAATATAGCCTTTTGTGAGCTGCTCAGATACTACGGTAATGGGGATCATATAAGTACCTAAGATAGATAATAAAAATAGATAGTAGAAAATCTCCATTAAACATAAACTTCGGCCAAGTACAATCAAAAAGGGAACGTGGCAGTTGCTGAAGTTTCTTTCATCCAAAAACATTTCTTCAGTCTGTTACTTCAAAGGGGAATTTTTTTCCCCTTAGGACAGTAAAACAGTTGGGTATCAAGAAAAATGACCTGACAGTGAGACCTATCACATTGTGAAAGGAAGTAATCAAAGCCACATTTGCATTTAAAACTAGACTGGACAAAGCACTGGAAAATATACTGAAGGCAGCAATCGTGTAGCTTAGCCCTTTGGTGGAGAACTAGATGGGATCTAACAGAACTTTTCTCTCCCACAATTCCATGATGGATGTTGTTAAAAGCTAAAACTTTCAGCATTGGCCTGAATGAATGAGAGGCTGCAGTTGTGAAGGGGTGAAAGAAATTTCCTCATTTTTAAAAGTATTTACATACCTCATGTTTAAAGTTTCCTGGGTGAAATCCTGACTTCATTGACTTCAGTGAGAGCAGGTTTTCTCTCCTTGATATTTGTTTCAACCCTCTCTAGAGTCAATGTGCTAGAGATATGTTTTTACTACTCCTGGCATATAAGCACGCAAATCCCATTAAGCATTTTTAATCATGGCACTCATGCAAACTGATTGAAGCATGCAGCTTACATTTTCAAAATAATTCAAGATTTAGAATCATTACCTCAATGCCAGAACTGTGTTGTATCTGAATGAAGTCCGTCCTGGAGGTTAGGTTGTTATGCTAAAGGTTTCATAAGGACAGAATGGTGTCTCCTGGCCTGGGAGCCCATGGTTTGAACAGGGTAGATTTGAGTGCTGTGAGCCTTTGCAAGTGACAGTAACAAAACCCTGCAGCTGCTTCTGTGCTGGGACCATGCATTACTTCTGAACGTCATTTCTAAAATGATCAGTCTTAAATTTCAGCTCACTGAGCATTATTGTGTGTCTTATCTTCTTCGCAAATGATGCCTCCCTTACAGTGGTCTGAGGAGTTTCTTTTCCCCAGGGGAAGGCTGGGGGATGAGGTGCCAGTTAAAAATAGTGGCCTTGACAAGACATTTTAAGACGTGTAGCTCTTATTATGCTATCAATTTACAGCTGAACCTAAAGAATCTACAGAGCAAGTGGGAAGTCTCTTGAGAAGTTTCACTATGAGGAAAGTCAGAACTGGTTTCAGCACAGATTAAATAAATACTACAGTGTTTTACGGTACTGGTGCAAATCATGACAGCTTCCAGAAATGCTACAACTGTATTATGAATCAATACTATAGGAGACTAGTGTTCTTCTGTGTAAGGGAGTTGTGTGTGGTAGTTTAGATTCTGGGCATAAGGACAAGAAATATATTGTTTGATGGCGGGCAGAGGACTTTATAGGTGCCAAAGTCAGACATCTGTGTGATGGTGTTGACTGCAGCTGACGACAAAGAGATGCAGAGCTGGATATCAGGAGCCAATGGTATCACCACGTCTCCAATGAGTTTCATGTATATGTTGAAAAGGGGAACGGGCAACATAGATTCCTACGAGAGTCTATAATGTGGGTCTTGGCATTTGCCAATTATGAATCTCTGGAATCTGAGAAGTATGAGCAGAGCTGTCATAGTGCTGCACCATCTTCTTCAAGGTCTTTTGTGTGCTGATCAGCAACACCCTTCAGCTAACACTATCAAAGGCAGTTTATGTATCCAAGAGGTTTTCCCATTGAAAGAGATGCCCTGCAGGACCTAGAAAGACTCCAGGTGATTGACTCCAGTTTGCTGTGTTGGAGGAGCATATGGAAGCAGCCAAAGCAAGAAAGATGGACTGTTTCAGAGAGGCTCTTCACATCAGCCTGCTAGAGCTCACAACAGTCCATCTTGCACTGATCAGTCTCAAAAAGTCATTGCCACAGTCAGTGCATTCTTCTAAACGCAGACAACACTACTGTGCTGGTGTACAGAGATCACCAAGGAGCAAAGAGCAGACCCCTGCTGAAGAAGGAGACCTTTCTCGTCAAGTAGGGGGAGTTCCACCATCTGTCCATCAAGCTGAAATAAAACCTGAGGGTTAAGCAGAAAACTGATATATGCAAGGATCTCAGTAAGTAAACTCTCAGAGGATAGAGTACAAGCAGGGTACACTGCGTATCGGCTTCTATGGAAAACTGAAAAACACAAAAAATTCTGGAGCAGATACAGAGACAGGTGAGAGGGGTGGTTTCGGATGCCTTCAGGAGGCATTGGAACTTCCCTCCAGTCTATGCATCCTCTCCGATGCCTCTCATTTGGAGGGTAATAAAGAAAGTCATTTGGGATAGAGCCAAGTTCACCCTCCTAGCTCCCACATGGCCAAGAAGAGCATGGTTCATATAAGCTGGCTGGTAGTGGTCGGATTGAGACTTAGTGTGCATTTATCACAATCCAGCGCAGCATATTTATTGGACTGGCTCCTGTGGGAGCGAGAGCAATCAGAGTTCTACATCATTTGCTCATAGCAGAGCCTGGACAGTGTTCATCTAATGGTGCAAAGACAGGAGGCTAATTTGTGCTAAGTTGTTCTCTGTCCCCACCAACCTAGAATTACTGCATGCTGCTTTTCCAGAGTGCGGGTAGCAGCCTTGAGAGCTAAGAAGGAGTTTGAGGATTGTTTCCAGCTAGGATTCCACCCCGTAACATCTCTCTCCTCTGGCCTCTTCTATGCTCCCTGCTCTCTCCACAGAGCCTTCACTTAGTGCGTAATAAGCTCTTTATTCCCCCATTCATACTATTCCACTTTTGCTCCTCTCCTGGAAAGTAATTTTCCTGGCAGCTATTACTTTAGCCAGGAGGGGAGGAAGCGATCAGCCCTTTCCTGTATTCTGTTCTGTATTGTTTCCCACCCTGACAAAGGAGGCCCCTTCGGCTCTGCTGTGAAATAATTTTCTTCCCAGGATCACTTCAGGCTCCCATATTATCAAAAATGTTTCTCTCGTTAATCTCTTTTGCCTTAGGCAGTAAAAGTGAAGCCAGCGTTAGCTAGCTAGCCGGAGGCTACTTAAGAGATACCTCAAAAGGCACTTTACAGATAAGATATGTCTTCACTGCAGAATTAACTCAGGTGATCAGCACCTGGGTGTGAGCACCCAGGTTAGCCTAGCTTGCATCTGAGCAGCCACACTGCAAAAACCATACCTGAGTTATTGGGTCCTCACTTCCTCATGTATGTTACTAGGACTTCTGGTGGCCTAGCCTGTGGTTCTTTGTGCTGCACTTAGATGAGCTGTGCTATGATTCTTTCCCAGTGAATTTTGGGAGAATCGGTCTGTCCTTCTGGGAGCACGGGAATTTGTGGGAACATACTGGAGGTCTATCAGCACTTAAGTAATTAGCCTGCATCCTCACTGCAAAGTGGATGGGTTACCAGCCCAGGTGAAAGCAGAATCTAAGCTCTAACCCCACTCAGGCCAGCTAGTCTGGGTTTAAAGCACCAGGAACTTGAGCGTGAGGTTTGTGAGTGGATGGGAGAGAGGTTGGGAAAACACCTGAGTAAGAGCCTGTGTTAACTCTGCAGCGAAGACAGACCTTGGGAGGTGTGAGGCCCCTTTCATTCTTCTGAAAGGTGTAAAGAAAAAGAGCCTAGGGAGGTGGCTAGGTGAGCTGGCAGGAAACCTACCTGGTTTCTGTGAGAATTTCAATAGAATCAACATTTTTTTAAATCTCCTTCCTCTGAAGCATCAGGGATGGCCACGGATGGCGATAGGACATTGGATGGGGGGTGGGGGGCTATGGCTTTGAGGTGTTACTGAGCTTTTTCTGCCTCAGCTTAGCTGGCTGGTTCTTGCTCACATGCTCAGGGTCTAACTGATATCTATACGTGGGGTTAGGAAGGAATTTCCTCCCAGGTCAGATTGGCAGTGACCTTGGGTTTTTTTTTTCCCCTTTCCTCTGCAGCATTTGGGTGTGGGTCACTTGCCAGGATTATCTGGGTATATCTCACTTATTTCCCTGCCTTTATGGGGGCCTTGGGCACTGGTGCATCTTGGGCCTTCCTGTCCTCTGCCTGTGGCACATAATAGTTCAGTCTCCTGTGGGCTGTAATACTTTGGTCTAATTTCAGTTGTTGGGTTTAGTGTATGGGTGCTGGGTGGTGTTGGTGGCCTGTGATATACAAGAAGTTGAACTAGATGATCTGGGGGGCCCTTCTAGCCTTAAACTCTATGATCCTGTATTTCCATGGAACGTTTCAATTCTGTCATTTCAGCATTTTCCGGTGGAACGCTTTTCAGCGGAAAGTTTCCCACCGGCTCTGCTCTGAAGTTCCTCACAGCCGTCTCTGTTTTTGACTGACTCAAATGGCTGTATGTCATCAACAAGGTTTGTCACCTCACTGTCACTTTCACAAGAAAGAGAGATTGTGAAATGGACTCTGCGTATACCATAGAAACTGGAAGAGCTGAAAAGGAAGCTTTTCTCTGGGTAACCATGTCTGCATCTTAGTGAGCTGCTTGGTTGATCAGGGGTCATTAGAGAAAGAGCCAGACCCAGCACTGAGTAGGTTCCCAGTATTTAATGGTATATCAGACCCTAGGATTCTGTGTAGAGTCATCTGTTGAGGTATCTTGTTATCCGGTGCTTGAGTCCTACAAGAAGGAGTAGTGGAATTATTGCTAAATCATGACTAGCATGTGGGCTAGAACAGATGGAACTTGAGACTGGGCCCTAGGAACAGCCAAGTTTGGAGAGAAAGTGTAGGCTGAGGTTTGTGTCTGTGTCACCAACAAGGACAAAACAGGAAGCGGGTAAAGGTGGATTATGTAGGTATGCTGTCTTCAGAGCAATGTGGCAGCTCCACCTGCTTAAATTGTATTTGTGGTTGAATGGAGCTGGCATGCTGGCTGGCTCAGTTTTCTAGACGTCCCCTTAGAAAATTCTCCCTCCCACCAAAAACACAATACACTGCAGTGAGCAGGACACTTAAATATTGATCATTATTAGCAACATAGGCCACAGGAATGTGCAGCAACATATATCTGGCTATTGCTTTATACTTCTCATTTTATTTTAGATTTGTAAATTAATTTTAACACAGATAAGGCCCAATACAGGATGATAAGCTCCATGAATATTATTTAAAAAATCCTGTCAATATTGTTTTTACTAATGTAATAATGTACAAAAGACTGTATATCATAAAGCCTATTGTATATCACACATGCATATAATACATTCAGGGCATTAGATTTTAGTGTGATTTCCACCCATTTTGTTGCCCACATGAATTTATTTGCTCTTCTATGATACTCAGGTGAGATGGGAAACTCATATCAACGTGCCACTAGAGGGCAGCAGCATAGCATGACATGTTCAATCCCACACTCAGTGGAATATATTGTCCAGCATGCTGATTTACTGGAAGGCTCATAGTCTTGGGATTCCAAGCCTGTCATTTGTAGGTCAGGGGTTCAAATCTGGCCCAGGTCAGCAGTGGTTAGAAATCTTTACAATCTGACAGCTGTTCAGTGGCCCATGTGAAATGAGTTTGTGGATTTCCATTCCTGTCTCATGGACAGGTGCCCATATGATAATTGGTACTAACTGGCCCCATTGCAATTTGCTAGCAGCATTTGCAGAGAAGCTAAAAGACTGAATGGGCCACAGAGACTAAATTCCCCTCTCACCTCTCTGGCTTGTTCCACAACGCAAAGGGTTCATCTCTGTGCACAAGCCTTCCCTCTGGAACGACGCCAGAAGAAGAATGCCCTGGCTTTGTTCCTTGTGGGAGAAAACCACTGCCTGAAATGATCTCATTCAGGATAGGGGCACAGAAGATAGGATGGGTGATATGTAGAGTCCGTTAGCAGCTAAACATTAAGGTGCTATTAATTTAGAACATGACACTCAGATATTCTGGCAATGGGGCCATTCAATACCATTAAACATGTCAGTAACGGGTGTTGTTGACAGATCAGCATAGCTGCACAGACAGGCTTTACCCAAAGTAGTCCAGCCATAGTGGTGACCTAGCTTTAAAAAAGAAAATGGATCTGAAACCCTTTTCTCATATCGAGAGTCTTCAGGCTTCAAAGGGTGGGGGGAGAAGGGATCCCCTGCCTTTTTTGGATCCCCCACCCTGGAAGACATTTAGCTGGCCATGCTCCCTACTCACCTCTTTATAATCCCATGTGGGGTTGGAGCAGCTGATACTCTCAGGACACCCCGTGAGATAAGCAATGAGCCTAGCCAGCATGTGACTGTGAAACAGTTCAAGTTTGTGTGTCACATAGCTTGTTCCGTTCAGATTTGAGAAGCATGTTGCTATGCAAATCTCTCTGGGGAGCTGGGCACCTCTCCAGTGCACAGATTTGCCTTGCTGCTAATGAATCAGCCTCTTTTGCTAACTTACCTCCCAAGCTTGTTTACTTGGAAACCAAAGGTTTAAGGAACAGGGCTCTCTCCATGCATAATGACGACCTATTTTAGATAGTCTTCCTCTCTCGGTCATATTTCTGGAGGGGAGGCACAAGTGAGAGTGCCTGTATCCAAGAGGCACTTCCAGGAAACAGTCCCAAACAACATCAGGCCATGTCCTCTTTGAGACCTGACATCTCAGGGTGCCAGCGCTTCTGCAAAACAGAAAATGTCAGTGAGAGCCTGCGCTGGAATTCATCTGCCTTGTACCAAGGACCCTATGTGGATTCAGACTCTCAGTATACGTTTGTTATTTAGCCATTTCCCTATTTTAGTGAGGAACACAAACAGCCTCATATTCCCACACGAGGGCTGATCATTCATGACACTGTCACAGCCACGCAAGGGCACAACGAACACGCCGCCCCCGAACCTTCACAGGGCAGGACTGCAAAGGAGATATGGCATCTTGATGGGGAACGCTTGTAAAGGCGAAACTTTCCAGATGCCATCCCATCTACGGGGTGCAGGGTGCTCTCTCAGAACAGCCCATAGAGAAGACAAAAAGAGCTCCCATTTGTGGTTCCCCCATAGGCATCCCTAAGAGAGAAGTGGAGACAAAAACACTCAGTGAAATTTAAAAAAAAACAAAAAAAACCTACCACCACATTTGAAAGGGAGATGGGGCTGAACTAAAACCCCTCACCTCACCAACTCTAAATGTGAGGTTTGGATCCCGTTCTGAAACTTTGGCTTGAGCCATCTCTAGCATAACACTATTCTTAATCAATACATGCAAGGAACATGGGAGTGCGATGACCAGGGCTGGATTAACTCTCCTGTGGGCCCGGGGCTATTAGATTTTGCGGGGCCCCTGTATACAAGTCTTTTTCCTAATTTAAAACAAAATTATCACAATTATGGCATTGAGGCTATTCACGCTATACTAAACTTGCTTTTTATAGCCATTCTGTGGTTACATTTCAGTCCTAAAACATGTAGAATATAGTTAAGTTAACTCAAAATAGCCTACTTCTTACCTTAGAACAGCTGTTATATTAGTTTCTCTCTGGGAGGGAGTTTGGGTATAGGAGGGGGCTTCAGCCTGGGGCAGAGTGTTGGGGTGTGAGCTCTCAGAGGGAGTTTGGTGCAGGAGGGGATTCTGACCTGAGGCAGGAGGTGGGGGTGTGAGGTGTAGGTTCAGGCCAGGAGGCGCTTACCACAGGCAGCTCCCAGCCAGCGGCCAATGGGAGCTGCAGGGACGGTGCTGGGGG